CCAAACATTTTGGACATCCGTTTCGCCAACACCTTAGAAATAAGTTTGTACACACTGCCCACAAGACTTATAGGTATGAAGTCTTTAATGTTTTTAGCCCCCCATAATCTTAGGGATGATTACCAAAAAAGAAGTGTTAATTAAGTGAATAAAAGAACCCGTTCTGTAGAAATCATTGAAAACAGCAACCACATCCTTCTTGATCACCTCCCAAAAGTCTTGATAAAACTTCAAATTAAAGCCATCAGGTCCCGGTGCCTTCTCTCCATTACAATCCTCAAGACAGCCTCTGATTTCCTTTTCCGTGAAGGGCATCTCCAGCCCCATTCTGCCTTATTCACTTAGCTGCTTAAATTCCAAACCCTCCAGCCTTGGTCTAACTCCCTCCTCGTTGAACAGATTATGTAAAAAAGATTAGACTCCCTCCCTCATTGCCTCATTACCCTTCACCGACTCTCCATTAATATTAAGTTCTTCCACATAATGATTTTTTCTTCTAAAGTTAGCTAAACTGTGAAAATCTTTTGTATTCCTATTACCTTACTTCAACCACTTCTCTCTACCTTTTTGTCTTCATGAGGTCGCCTCCATATTTATAATGGTTGCAATTTCTCCTTTTAGAGATTCCCTCCCCCGACCCTCTTCATCTAATCCCCCCTCCGAATCTTTACTATCCAGATCAGCTAACTCCTTGAAATTTTCACTAATTTTCCTTTCAATCTTCCCTTCCTCCTCGCTGGCCCATTTTTTTATCTCCTTCAAGGCTCTTAATTTTGCAGCAAAGATGAAACTGCCCGATTCTTTCACACTATTCTGTCCCCAAACCCTCCCAACCAAATTTCTGAACCACTCCACCTTCAACCATTTATTGTCAAGCCTAAACGGACATGGTCTCCAAATGATGCCATCCAGAATAAGGTATATTGGGAAATGGTCCGAGGTAAGCCTGTTCAGAACTTTCTGACTTAAACCTGCAAGCTGCAACAACAATCTGTCAGATATTAAAAAATGGTCAATTCTTGACCGAGATGAGGTCTCCCTGGAGTTTGACCACTTCCACTTCCCACCTCCAAGTGGCAGATCAACCAAATCAAGTTTATCAATCATATCTTTGAACTCTTCAATCTCTCCGAGACTCGTACTCACCCCCGTTTCTCTCCCTCAAATGCAAAATCCCCCCTACAGTACATTCCCGAAAAAGCTCAATCTTCCCTACTTCCACAATTTTCAAATAACGCAAACAGAGATACCAGACCCCTCTCCACCCCTTTATAGCAAAATATTTTTTTATCCCACATAATCAGAATTCCCCCCACTACCCCATCCGTTGGCACAAAAACCCAATCCACCTTCTTGTCACTCCACAACTTGCCAATAACTAGTTTGTTGATATCATTCATTTTAATTTCGGGAAGAAAGACCACCTCTGGCTTCCATCTTCTCAAACATCCGCTAATGATCCCTCTTTTCTTGCTATAATTCACTTACCTCACATTCCATGATATTGTTTTCCCTATCATAAATTAATCATAATAGACTGACTCTCCTCCCCTCTTCTGCATTTTTTTACTTCATCCTTGAGCAACCATTTCAATTGTTTTAGCTCTATGCTTCCCCCATCCCCCGTTTTCTTCCCCTTCTTATTATTTTTTCTCTCACTCTCTGCCAATATATATCTGTTTTCTAATTCCTCCAGCAAACTAAGCACCCCATGTTCAAGCCCTTCAAACGACATACCAAACAATTTACTAACATTTGTGAAATTTCTTTAGACCCACACAGAATACTGCTCCTCTATTTTCTCCCCAAATGCCACTGACAATGCGTTGCATAATGGGCTTTCAAACTGTATGGGAGTTATATCCAAGACTCCTTCAACGTTAACTGTGCCAGTCTCCACAGCAGCAGGCGAACCATTCATCAGCGAAATCGAACGAGCTCTGTTCGTACCAAACACGAACCCCTCCACTTCACCCACCTCTCCTGCCTCATAACTCTCCTCAGAGACAACAGAATCAACATTCGTACCTTCGTCTAACTCTTCTTCGTCAGCATCTTCTTCCTTCAACCCTTCCAACGAAGCTTCCCTCTCTACATTTTCTGGAATCCTTACCATGATTTCCGTTTTCAACCCTACCTCAATATTTTCTAAAACCCAAGCTGCCCTTTCTTCCCCTTCTATCAATTTTATTTTGGGCGAACCGTGTTCACTTCTTTTGGGTCACCAAAATTTCCTAATCCGCCTTCTGTTGCTGGGCCCAGGTTGATCCACCCATTTTCCTTTTTAATCCCACAGGAATTTCTTTCTTTCATCAACTTTGGACCCAGTTTGTTTCCTTTCTTTCTCATTTTCTTTCCAGCTCCCTCTCACTCGTGGGTCGAATCGTTGGGTCGACCTGAACCAGTGCGGCCCAGCTCGAAATCACTTCCTGCCCTACCCGATTCCCAGTCTCCTCGTGCTTCCTCAGTGCCTCGCGAAGGTTGCCTTCCTTTTTACCAGTCGTATTCCCCACTCCGCCGTACAGTCCAGACATTTTATTACCCATTCTGCAGGAACCCCATTACACACATCTGACATTTCCTTCCTGCCTCCTTTCCCTTTCAACCAATCCGGCGGAACCAACTTTATACCTACAACCTCGTGAACAGCTTCCATGACCTGCCACCAGTCATCCGCCTTATCGCCTTCCGGAAGATAGAGTCTATTGATTTTCCTTCCCGATCTCTGCTTGCCTTCCGGAAACATCAGAAAGTTACCGCGCTTATTTCCGCTTAAAGCCATCCACAACGTCCTCCAACTGCTTCGTCCTTTCCCATGCTCCTCCACTTTTCTCCCACCTGAACGCTCTCAAACTCTGTAGCAGCCAATCCAAATCTTCTTTCTGAAAAAAAAATAGATTTACGAAACTCCATCCCAGTCTCGTACACTCTCAGCCCTTTACCTTCTCCTACCACGTCGAAAGATTTATTCACCACCACGAGGAATCACCTTAGGCCTATTGGCATTGTCGGCCAGAGGGGCCATCGCTGAAAGACAACAATCCCTCGTGCTATCACTCAGAATCGCTCTCTCTCTCTCTCCCTCCTAGTCTCTCCCATCAAACAGTAAAGTTAGCATTTACCACGCTGTCTTCAATGTAAAAGAAGATTGAAATATGCAATCCCAAGAAACATCAAGTTTGTAATTATGAAATATCAAATCCTAAAAGTACCTTTGAATTAAAAGATGAGCTGAGGAATGGATCAATATTAATTTCCAATAGTTCTTCTCAGTGAAAGAGAATTGTTGTTTTAGGTGAGGACAGAGTGGGCAGCCTAATTTTTCTGCATAATCTATCAATAAATTCAGATAAGTCTTATTCAAACAAAGTTGATGTTTAGAATCTTCATTAACCCATCAATTTTCTCTTCCAGTATCCACCTGATTTTACGATGCTCATCAGTTAAATAGACTTTTTTCTTTCTAATTATTTCCCAATTTGTCCTACATCATCTATCAACAAATTCAGATAAATCTTCTTCAAACCAAGTTGATGTTTACAATCTTCATTAACCCATTAATTTTCTCTTTCAGTGTCCACCTGATTTTACAGCGCTCATTAATTAAATAGACTCTTTTTTGCTAATTATTTCATGCTAATAACGTATTATTTTTAAAGTGCCAAGTATATTTAGAATAAATGAGCTTCTCTTGTGTAACTCACTTAAAAATTTGCACTTTATTTAATTATTAGATAATGAAAATTTCTTTTAGAATAGTCAGAATAGACCTCTTAGATAATTCTAAATGAGAACAAAAGGATTATATTTCAAATTCTATTAAAACTTATGAAATTTAAAATGTACTTTTTTAGTTCAATTTGATTTCTCTAAGATATCAATTTTTATCATTTTACAAGATACTTTTCCCATATCATTGCCAAAACAACTTTAGCTTTCTGAAGTAATTCCGCAAATACATTTCAATTATTCCAAACATAACCTTAATCCAGATTAATAGTGAAAGCTTGAAAACATGGATTACCTTTACAATCTGAGCTGTAGCCATCACTATCTCGGAAGTAAAATAGCCTTCTTAAATATGATTCCTCATCAAGGAAAGCAGGTCTGAGACACCCAAGAATAGAGACACCATTTGATGGATGGTCCATTTTCCTTTCAGATTCCATCTTAATACTCTGTATAATAATTACAAGTTTCAGTTGTGACATAATATAACAACAGCAGTAGAACAAATAAAAGAAAAAAAAAAAAGGAAGCAGGGAAGATAATTGTGGAATTTTGTATGTCAGAAATACTTCTCAAAACAATGCAGACTTTTACCCATCAAACTAACAGACTAATGTGTTAACCATTGATTCAAAATAATTGTCATAGACTCTAGAAGCTGCAAACCACAGAAAAACATTTCAAAACTAAAAGCAATAGAATTTGATGCAGGGGTAAAAGGCTGAAGAAAAATAGCTCTAACATTAAATTAGTGGTTATGGTTAATTTACCAATTAGTATATTAGCACTGAATTTTCAAATTAATTAAGGAGTCCTTAGTTCTACTTATATTACAACTAATATTTTTTAAAAAAAAATATTTTTTTAATCCATATTTTAATTAGGTTTTGTTTTAATTTTCTAATTAGGAGAATTCTAGAGTTATCTATTAGTTTACTAGTCATATTAGGAATGCTATTTTATGTAGTACAGCAGAATAGAGTTTAGAAAGATCTAAGAAAAGGATAAAAGATAACTCTAATACATGATCACACAGAGATTAACAATAACCACAATCACAGAGTTTTTAGAACTACAATCTTAAGAGCTGTTAGAAATTCAATTCAATGAGAGCATTAACAATTTTAATTCATAAGCAATCTGTTAAATAATAATGACTAACATACATTCATAGGGTATCTACCTTCTTTTTTTTTTAAATAAAAAGTATAAAGTGCTAGGATATCTACTTTCTTACACCAATAACAAACATATCTTAGTAAGTCCTAAGTAAGCTAAATATCTCTAATGATATATAAAGAATATAATCATTAAAAAATATCTCATAATGGTAAAATATATCCATTAGAAGATATTCTTATTATACATCATTCTCCTCTAGTTAGTAAAAATTCAACCTTGAGTATTGAAATGTCAAAAAACAAGAAGTTTAAAGCTTGGACATTTCTTCCAAAGAAATACAGTATGTCAAACCTGAGATCATCTTGAGAAAATAAAAACGTGTCCAAAAGATTGTTCTCTAAGGATTAGTAAACAAATTAAGCATGAAAAAATCTGGTGACAACAAACTTTTCTTATCACCTTTAGGAGCTCAAGGAATTTACAATAATTCCTGAGCAAGCTAAATACCCCTAATAATCAATGAAGATTATAATAAAAAAAAGTATCTCGTAATGGTAAATGTCCATAGAAGACATTCCTATTTTGCATCATCCTTTTCCATTTGGCAGAAAATCAACCCAAGTTTTGAAATGTCATAACAACAATAAAATGAAAGCTTGGACATGTCTTCCAAAGAAGTGAAATCTGTCAAACCTGGGACCATCTTGGGAAATAAAAATGTTTCCAAAAGAGTGTATTCCAAGGATTAGTGAACAAATTAGGCATTATAAAATCTAGTGCCAGCAAAATTTTCTTATCACTATTAGAAGCCAAAAAAATCTGTGTAACCTCTTGATGACACCTTGTTCTTCTTGATGCAATTTAAATCAACTAGAAATCTTTGTCCACGACTTGAATAGTGCTATTGTTTCTTACTAAGTTGAGAGACCTATTGGTAGGAGATTCAATTTCTTCAGTACAATCACATCTTTCATAATTTTCTCAGTTACCCCATTTACTGACTTGCTCAATCAATGGTAATGATATCATGTTGCTCCACAAAAAATGATAGCTCATAATATATCGTGGTCATTACATCACCATAACCACGCAGGAAATGTCTAAAAGTTTGTTGCTTGTATTCAAGATGGTTTAAGCTTAGTGGTATAACTTTTAAGAACTCTCCTTAATAATCCATGAGCAATTGGTGAATCTTTTTCATATTCTTTCCAAGCATTATGCCGTAGTGGAGAGAGCAACTCTACCAAAATATAATTAATTTCTTCTTAAAAAATGATAACAACAGCCTCCATTAATAATAGGACATTCTTCATTTGAAGTCTCATAGACTTCAAGAACAGTTAAACATTTCTACAATCAATGATTCACAATCTAGATCCAACATTACTAGACATTGTCTAAGCCTTCAACAATTTCAAGAATTAAGATCTTATTGACATGTGAGTGCCTCGTTCTATTACTAACAGTTTAATGTAAAAATAATCTTTTTTCTTTTGAAATAAAAGAGAAATAATATTATTATGCCCAAA